ATACCCATTGAAAAATGTTCTTTTTTGCTTAGATTTTTGGAATCTTGTATATATATATATATATATATATATATTTTGTATTTCATCACCTTATTTATTACCTCATCCATGAAATTATCCTTCCGTCTTGCATCTAATGTTCCTAATGGCGCTTAAAAATATGGAAGGAGATCTTTGTGTGTGATTCTTGGAGAGAAAGTACCTTATTTTTTTGGGTTTTCAATTTTTATAGGTGTTTGGCTAGTTTTAGTAAGTCTATGATTAATGGCTAGAGTTTGGTAAGTTAGGACTTTTTTGGGACATTTCTGTAAGATTCTCTTTTTAAAACAAGGTTTTGTGGGCTTTTACAAACTTATTTTTAGTTTTATGACCCTATCATAAGAGATTTGTGTTTTACACGTAAGAGATCTAAAAAGGTCATTTTCTTAATTTTAAAATTGTAAAAGGCCATGATATACAAATAGCACACAAAAATACCCATGCACCTAAAATTATTTACCTGACCATACCCTTCAGCCCCCATTTACTTTCACTACCTATTAACAGTATATCAATATAATAAAATATATATTAGTATAACAAAAATAATATATCAATATAATAAAATAGCATATTAGTTTCTAACATTATTATAAAATATTTTACACAGTAGTATACTAGCATGGTATGTAAATATACCAAATAGGTATATTACTATTTTATATCTATTGCTACATCTACTTCTAATACAGTGAATAATACGTCCATGGAACTCCATCAAACACTTCTTTTAAGAAAAAATCTGCACAAAGCATGAGAATTGTTAAATTTTTTAAACAAAGAACCCAGTTAGAAAAATTAAAAAAATGAAAAATAACTCAATTATGACAGCACATTGTTACATTATTTGTAGTAAACTGTATAGTATTGAATTATATATTGTATATCAAAATGGCATACAATATACCAATGGTATCTTGTGTTCTTCATTTAACAATATACTGTTACATTATACTATATACTGTAATAGTATACTACTATATACTGTAATTGTATATTATGCAATAAATTGTATTTGACTGAATTAAATATTGTATATCAAAGTGGTATACAATATACCATTTTGGTATATAATACATTTCATATTATTTGCTAGTTTAACTCATTTTCGACCCACATTCCAGTAATTAACTCCAAAATCTCCATCAAGTTTACTTTAAATTTAGCCGCAATTTTTAATCAATATTTCAAACACCCGCTAGTCAGTTTCGATTCAAAACAACTACAAACTCAACAAACCAGCTTATGAGTTTCAAGCTTCAAGGTCGTCATTGATGGATCTCATTTTTCTTACAACAAATCTCAGAAAATCCAATCAATCGAATATCCTAAGATTCACTAACAGCTTGGGCACAAGTAGTGAGACAACAAGCTTCAATACAAAAGGCATCAACAGAATTTTTTTAGGATTCATTTAATCAATAAAAATCAAGAGTTAATGATTAATTGATCAAATGAATAAATTGAGGAAGAAAGAGAGAAACTGGACAGTTGCGTGAAGAGAAAAGTCAGGAAAGAAGATTGAGGGAAAATGCCACCGCCGGAGATAGATCTATTGATGAGCAAAAAGTAGATATAAATTTGAATAGCTGCCTCAAATATGTAGCTGATGTAATAAGGTTTAAGATGGATATTTACGGGTAATTATTTTAGGTTGTGTGTGCATATAGTATAAAGTTGCAATATTAGATTTCACTGTCTCTTACTCCGAATTGTTTAGGACTTTTGTCTTTTAAAACGTTGTACAAGGTTAGGCCAATAGATGATGTAGAATTTTGACGATGAAAATGTTGCAGTTAATTAAGTAGAGTAGTCCCAAAATTTCACAATCGCTTAATCTGAATTAGTTAAGACCTTCATCTTTTAAAACAGAGTTGCATGCAATGTTATTGTTTGACGAGGAACAAATTGACGAAGAGAATAGTACAGTTGTAGTACAACATAGTCAATAGTAAGGGACAGGTAGTACATCCGAGTACCCTAACGAACCCAAAAAAGAGTATAAAATGGTGGAAGTAACATCCTCATGAAGGAGTTCCCTCAAGGATATTAGTATAATATAATGTACTTTTTGTTTGTCAAATTTTCTTGTTTATCAATTCCTATATCCATGTGAATTACTCTTTGGATCAAGAGGGAATACTTATGCCTCTTTTTTTTTTTTTTTGGGTTCAGTGTTTTAAAATGATGGTGTTCGAGCAAATTTGCGTACATGAGTATCTGCTGTCTCTCGTCAACATAGGTATCAGGTAACTCTGTCTATCAAGATTTGGACAGATAAAAAAAACATGATAAGAGAAAAAATCAAGGTATCGAACATGTTTTACTCTCAACAGGGATGTTGTAATCGATGGGAGGGCAATGCTAGGGTGACATTGCCATGTTCATTTGGCAAGCGAGAATGATAAAATGGAACATCAATTCCAGACATGAAAAATTGACATAGGTATGTTCGATCAGAGTCCTCACTTCATGCAGGGGAACTATTTATGAAGTTATACGTATTCACTCACCTTCTTTAGCATTCATTTCATAATAATGTCGTTTCGCTTAGATCATTTTTTTAGTTTGCAATCTTTATAGAATTACAATGAAATATCAACGAAGAAGTAGGGGAACTTGAATTTATCTACTATCTGGGGGGAAAACTTGCTTATGCTAGAAATCTTGTTATCTTCCAAGTGTTTGGATGGTAATTTTCCGCCCTCTTTACACAGTGTCTCGTATCAATGCCACACAATGAAGATAAGAAAAGGAAAATGGACAAAGTATGCGTTGTCGTCACTTGCAAAAATATCATACAATATCTAAAATTTTATTTTGTGACACTAGGTGGGAACATAGTACAAGTACTATATAAATTATTCAATTTTAAATATAGTTCAAGTTGAAGACAGAAATTGCCAATTTGGAAGATAACATGTAATTAGGTGGAATTAGTCGAGGCGTGGGCAAGCTGACTCGGACATCACGATTATTAAAAAAAAATTATGATTCACTAAAACCCCAACCTAGTCCCAGGATCCTTTAATCTGAAGAACTAAGGCAAAAAATTTAATTTTTGGTAGCCCAATACTCTTTTACTTTCCATCTCACAAATTCTCCTAGTGATATAATTCCATTTCCACGTCAGAGTATATAATCCGTCTCTACCAATAGCATTCCTTCCTACCAGATAATAACTCATCATTTCACCACATACACATCCACAAACACACACCACACATCAAAAAAATCCATATTCCTTCTCAATCTGACACATAATATAACCTCATCATCCCTCCTTATCTTTCTTGATCCCAAGTTTTCACTTAGCCAGTTAGAGAAGTAACAAGAATAGTGAAAAGCAAGACAATGGCCAGTGTAACCTCTGCTGCAGTTACTATCCCATCATTCAGTGGCCTTAAATCCGGTACATGTTCCAAAATTAGCAATGTAGCGAAAATGGTGTCCACCAACCAAACATCCAAAATGGTAGTAAAGGCTTCAGTAAAAGATGTAGGTGCAGTTGTAGTTGCTACAGCTGCAAGTGCAATACTAGCTAGCAATGCCTTAGCAATTGAAGTATTGCTTGGTAGCGATGATGGCGGTCTTGCTTTTGTTCCTGGAAACTTCAGCGTTAGCGCCGGTGAGAAAATTACGTTCAAGAACAATGCCGGTTTCCCCCACAACGTTGTATTTGATGAAGATGAAATCCCAGCTGGTGTTGATGCATCTAAGATTTCAATGTCTGAAGAGGACCTTCTCAATGGACCAGGGGAGACTTACTCTGTCACTATGAGTGAGAAAGGAACCTACACTTTTTACTGTGCACCTCACCAGGGAGCTGGAATGGTTGGCAAAGTTACTGTTAACTAATTCTGATTAGCCTCTTTATCATGTGTAATAGTTAACTTGTTTCTATTCAAATCCCCTGAATCTTTTATTATAATAGTATGTCTTTTTGAGGATATAATCATAAGTTCGTGGAGTTACATAGTTCTTTATATAGCTTGGGATTTAAGAGGTTTGTGTGTTTCACAATTGATACAAGAATGAGTTGCTCTAGGAGTAAGCACACTCCACTTCCAATCAAGACGTTGTGAGTTCGAGTCATCCCAAGAGCAAGGTGGGGAGTTCTTGGAGGGAGGGAGCCGAGGGTCTATCGGAAACAGCCTCTCTATCCTAGGGTATGGGTAAGGTCTGCGTACAAACTACCCTTCTCAGACCCCACTAGTGGGATTATACTGGGTCGTTTGTTGTTGTGTGTTTCACAATTGAGATGGAAAATAATAAAATTATACTACTTTTAGGTATGAAGGGGAGCCTTGGCGTAACTGGTAAAGTTGTTGTCATGTGACCAGGAGGTTATGGGTTCGAGCCGTATAAACAGGCTCTTGCAGAAATGCAGGGTAAGGCTGCGTACAATAGACCGGCCCTTCCTGGACCCTGTGCATAGCGGGAGCTTTGTGCACCGGGCTGCCTTCCCTACTACTAGGTAAGTTTCCTTTAATCCATTTTCACAACAATAACTAGCAAACTTTTACATATAGAAACCAATTGAAAAATTATTCTCCACTGCAAAGGATAAGGTAAGGTGCACTTCATTGTAAATGGATCTTATTCTTGGTATAGTACAAATGCAGTTACTATAAACAAGGTCAGCTTGAGCAAACTAAACAACCCAAATTCAACTAGTGAAAGATCTTATTGATAGAGAATGCTTGCCATTTTACACTCAAGTTGATCCACATTTGCAAGAAATGAAGGCAAGAGCATAATGGTTAACGTATCAATGATTTCCTTCACCATCAACAGTACCTCTTTTCATCATTGCAACAAACTCATCATAGTTAATTTTCCCATCCTGCATAGTTTAAGCAAACCACATATATAACAAAAATCCTGGAAAAGAAATTAGAATATGAGATATAGCTTATGAGAATAACCAACTTTATCTGTGTCAACGTCATCAAGAATTTCATCGATTGTAGCTTCATCCCCCATTCCATACTCGGTCATAGCATGTCTGAGCTCATCTCTTGTTATAAATCTGGTGATTCCAAAAGAAGCAGTATGATCCCCGGTTAAAAATCAAGTATTACTTTGAACAAACATATTTGCAAGAAGATGGGGAATACATACCCACTACAATCCTTGTCAAAATACAGAAAAGCCTTGAACAAGTTTTCTTCTCTTTCAAGTCTGTGTCGATGCGTTGTAGCAGTAATGAACTCGATGTAATCTATAGTCCCGCTTTTGTCAACATCAGCCTGAAAGAGGAATAATTTGAAGGAAAAACTTAATTTTGTTATATGAAGCAGGCTTTTGTTTTAACTTTGACTGCATATAAAATTTGATCTTAGGAAAATCAAAAGATTGCAAAATCTTACTGCTTCCATCAGCTGCTTTATTTCTGCTTCAGTGAGCTTGGATCCTAGCCTAGATAATCCAGTTTTAAGTTCTTCATATGTGATTGTACCACTTCCATCAGTATCTATGTTGCTAAACATTTGTTTAAGTCCCTTGATTTCTTCTTCTGATAAATTCTCTGCAATAACCTTTAAGCAGTAGATACTACATCATCAGGGGGGGAGAAAGGAATAAGAAACTAACGAACGGATATACTAAGTATCTCATCGCTTTTCTAATATGAAACTATACAATATGCACTTGGAAATCTTGTGGGAGCAACAGACACCTAAAAGGGGCTTTAAATCTTATTGACAATATCCTGGAGACATGTTAAGCCAAGTGGTTATTACCTTGAGGGCAAGCTTCTTCATCTTGTTCATTGCTCTGAATTGCTTCATCCTGACCAAAACAGCACTATCGATAGGCTTGTCCGATGCCTCACCATCTTTCTTCAGCCATGGATGTTCTGGTTCATGTATCAAGATTCATATTTTATTGCGATATAAAAAAATTGTACAATAATCTAAAATGTGACAAACTTGAATTATGTGTCTATATATAAATCATTTGTGAGACAGAAGCATCAGTGAGAGATATCACACGAGAATAGAGTCCATCTTGCATCTGATACTGGGGAAATATCCTCACCGTATTACTTGAATAAGGATTACAACTTTGCAGATTTATCGATAGAAGCTAACATTTGTATGTCCACTTACCGAGGGCTTGATGTGCAGTGATCCTTCTCTTAGGATCCACTGTCAACATTTTCTTGACAAGATCCTTCGCTGAGGCAGATATAAAAGGCCAGGGAGGGCTTTCAAGATCCACATGGCCTTTAAGTATCTCTTCAAATATTCCTTCTTCGGTCTCTGATATACAAGAGAATTGTAAACACAAGTTGTTGATCAACTAATATTGGGTGTGCGAACAAAATTCCATACTGGAAGTTGATAAGAAAATACTCATTATAGTATAAGGTCTTTTGGGAAAAACTGTCCAAAGCAGACGATATAATACCATGTTAAGAGTGGCTTTTAGTTTGTTTAGTCCAAAAAACTAAGCTACTGTTCTAGGCAAAAATTCCACTTACCAGCCGAGAAAGGAGGAAAACCACTCAACAGAATGTATAAAATGACTCCAGCACTCCAGATGTCTATCTCCGTCCCATAGTTATACCGTAACACCTCAGGAGCCACATAATATGCACTTCCAACAATATCCTTATAAACTTTTCCTGTAGAATACTTCTTTAAATCTTAGTTGCAAGTTGATTATGGGAACTAAAAAATAGTATTAATCTCTCTTTTATGTATCCATATATCATTTACAACAGACTGGCTAGTAAACATGAAGCAAATTCTTTCTTCCCGCTTCAAGATAGCTATAAAATTGCGCTACACTAAGGGATACTTCATATTTAGCAGTCTATAGGTTGAATAGAGAAAGCATTTGAAACTGAGGATACTTTCATGATCACGAACTTGGGAGTGACTTGTTAGAATAATGACTTGAGTTTGACTTGTTAGAATAATGACTTGAGTTTAAGTTCTATGCACTCACTCACAGTATAAAAGATATTTACTTAATCGGGTTAGTTATTAGGTAATTCTCTTTTGACAAGCATTAATTAGTAATCCGGTAAAAATGGTATAACATGCTATCATCACATTTTAGAATTACTGACAGTGTCAAAAAATCTTTACACTATCAGGCATCAGCAAATATGGTTGTAGACGTGATCATATGCTTCAAAATTGCGGAAAAAGGAGTAAGTTGAATAAACCATCAAAACTCAATACAGAAGAAATTAACATTAGAATATTGATTGAGAAGTAGCTTCTCATTTTTGAAGAAAGTACTCCTTCCGTTTCAACACACTTTACTTATTAATCCGTTTCACATAAACTGAAACGGAAAGGGAGGTAGTACTATATATTTGGAAATTGCAACTTACCTTCCTCAATGAAAACAGAGAGACCAAAATCCGTGGCCTTTAAAGGAGAATCATCTGCCTTACTAACCATCAAGAAATTCTCAGGTTTAAGATCTCTATGCATCACCCCCATAAAATTGCAAACATGAACAACATTCACAATTTGTCTTCCAATATTTGCAGCTTCTTTCTCAGAATAATTTCCTTTTGCAGTAATTCGGTCGAAAAGCTCCCCACCAGAACACAACTCCATAACCAAATGTAGATTACTCTTGTCCTCATAAGCACCTTTGAACTCAACAATATTAGGCTGTCCACTCAAATATTGCATTATCATAATCTCCCTTCTAACATCTTCTATATCCTTGGGAGTTACAAGTTTTTTTGTGGATATGGATTTACATGCATATTTTAATCCAGTGGATTTGTCAGTACAGAGATATGTTATTCCAAATTGACCCCTCCCAAGTTCTTTGTCAAGATCATAAAGGGTGGTAATTTCAACATAAGGCTTGCCCAAAATTGGTCCAATATTACTAGTATTAGTTCTTGGCATAGTATTGAAAGAAGGGATCACTGGCTTTGGAGGTGGAGTTGGAGGTGAAGGTTTTTCTGGTTGTTTTTGAGATGTTATTGGTATTAAGCGCCATTTCTTGAACCAGAAATCTTTAGTGAAACAAATGCCCATTTTGATTTTTTTGACACAAGGGAAATTACAAGAGAGTGGGAAAACAGTGAGCTAGAGAGTTGGAGTACGTAGTTTCAGAGTTATGTAGGAGTACTTTATAATACTACTTTGGGATGGTAATGCACGTTTGGAGAGAATTTTTCTTTGTTTCCTCAAATGTTTCAAGGAATATTTGATGACTTTTACGTTGAGCTTTAGGTGCTTTTCTTTGCTTTTGCTATGCCTCTTTGGATAATTGGATTGTTGCTTTGGTCTTGGTATCATTTTCCACTTTTTTCTTGCTTACGATTTTTAACACTAGTAACGTCGACAACTTACGCCTAAGGGTGGGTTCAATTTAACTTTACGTGTCGATATTCATGAAACATTTTAATAATGTCTCATGTCCCAAATTTACGACCCTTAAACTTGTCTGCTTTTTTGTTATTGAACTATATTTGTAAAATAATTCTGGAGAAGATAAAATAATATATAAACAAAAATGTAAACGAAACAGAATTTAATTTAAGCCAACTCAATTCACAGTGTTTCCTTAAAGAACTTAATCCCCTCCTAGTATCCAAGGTTGTGGATTATTTTCTCCCAGGATAGAACGAATATCACACTGGTGTAGCGATACTTCAAACACCAGTGTTTCAGCGAACACAAAGATCGGTAGCAAATCACACTTACTGTTGCTTTGTTTGTAGTTAAAACAATGCAGAAGAAAGGAGGAGAAGTCAGAAATTCGTATGAAAAATCTGAGAGAATGGACTGGTATTTATAGCCAATGTTGAGCTCAAACTTAAGAGGTGCAACTCTTCAAATCCGAAGAGGTGCCAACTGTTTCTTCAAATCTGAAGAGGTGCAAACTATTTTGTAAATGTCTTTTACAAAAAGCGAAAGGCATATACTATTACGTTTGGATTTAATATTAATATTCCGTTTATAAAAAACCGGATATTTGACCGAATCCGAAGCCGAAGCCGAAGCCGAAGCCGAAACCGAGCCGAGCGACGACGACGACGGCGCGACGCGAGGCTTGCCTTCTTCTTAACTCTTTAAGAGTTAGAAGAAGTACAATTGTATATATACACATCAAAATCTTTTCCTCTTCCAATATGGGATAATATCCCTTTGTCAAGGAGGGAAACTCAAATATTTTCAATTTCCCTCCATTTCTCATTCACCCTCTTTTAAGCTACATTTAAGCTTTAAAACCCAATAATTTTAAGCTATATTTAAGCTTAAAAACCCAACAATCCCCCCACATGAATGGGGAATGACTATATCACGGAAATATGCATGAAAAACTGTGTGATTCGCAAGCAAAGATTAATTATATTAGGATAAGTAGGTTTCCCTTTGAACTTTCCGTCGTGAACTTATGTCGGATATACTCGGTCAATCGGTAGATTTGATATCTTTGAACCGTCGAATTTTGGTGTATACCTAGACAACCATAAGTCACACAACCAACCCTTAACCATCTTTGGCTCTCATTGTTGTGTTCGTTTCAACCATGAACACCACCTGATTTAATAAGTGCGTAGAAAATTAGCCTTACAAAATTCCCCTTGAAGCGGCTAACACTTCACACTTACATAGGTGATTCCTAAACGTGNACCACAATGGCTAGTTCTCGGCCATAGTCTCATTCCCCACGATGATTTCTCAACTACCTCTCTAGTTAGACCTTTTGTAAGTGGATCCGATACATTATCGCTTGACTTTATATAGTCAATCGTGATAATTCCTCTAGAGAGTAATTGCCTAACGGTTTTATGTCTTCGTCGTATATGACGAGATTTACCGTTATACATCACGCTCCCAGCCCTTTCAATTTCCGTTTGACTATCGCAATGTGTGCATATTGGTGCCAACGGTTTGGGCCAAAATAAAATATCTTTCAAGAAATTTCGGAACCATTCAGCTTCTTCACCGGCTTTATCTAAGGCTATAAACTCAGCTTCCATTGTAGAACGGGCAATACAAGTTTGCTTGGACGACTTCCAAGATGCTGCTCCTCCACCAATAGTGAATACATACCCACTTGTGAACTTAGAATCAATTGAACCGGTGATCCAATTTGTATCACAATATCCCTCAATCACCGCAGGATATTTACTGTAGTGCAAAGCAAAGTCCTGGGTATGTTTTAAATATCCCAAAACTCGTTTCATTGCCATCCAATGAGATTGACCTGGATTGCTCGTGTATCGACTCAATTTGCTTATAGCACAAGCTATATNTAGCACAAGCTATGTCTGGTCGTGTACAATTCATGATATACATTAAGCATCCCAATACACGAGCATAATCCAATTGTGATATGCTTTGGCCTTTGTTCTTTGCTAATGCAAGATTCACGTCAATTGGAGTCTTTGCAACTCCCTATAATGAGATTGGAGTCTTTGAAAATCTCACGTTAATATAATGAGATTGTGACAATGCCAGACCTTGAGGAGTCTTATTGATCTTAACCCCCAGAATTAAATCAGTAACTCCCAAGTCCTTCATATCAAACTTGCTAGTTAGCATACACTTAGTCACATTTATATTGGCAATGTCATTACTCATTATCAGCATATCATCCATATATAAGTAAACAATGACTATGTGATTTGGAACATTTTTAATGTACACACATTTATTACATTCATTTATCTTAAAACCATTTGACAACATTGTTTGGTCAAATTTCGCATGCCATTGTTTGGGTGCTTGTTTTAGTCCGTAAAGAGACTTAACAAGTCTACATACCTTCTTTTCTTTACCTGGAACCACAAACCCTTCAGGTTGTTTCATGTAGATTTCTTTCTCCAAATCTCCATTTAAGAAGGCCGTCTTAACGTCCATTTGATGAATTTCAAGACCATAAACTACAGCTAATGCTACTAACATTCGTATGGACGTAATTCTTGTAACTGAAGAGTATGTATCAAAATAATCAAGACCTTCTCGCTGTCTATACCCTTTGACTACAAGTCTTGTCTTATATTTATCAATAGTGTCATCATCTTTCATTTTCCTCTTAAAAATCTATTTAGAACCCAAAGGTTTATTTTCAGGAGGAAGATCAATCAATACTCATGTATGGTTATTCAATATGGATTCTATTTCACTATTGACTACCTCTTTCCAAAATAATGATTCCGAAGAAGACATAGCTTCTTTAAATGTTCAAGGCTCATTTTCCAATAAGAAAGTCACAAAATCTGGTCCAAAAGAAGTAGACGTTCTTTGACGTTTACTACGTCTTGGATCCTCATGATTAAATGTACTTTCTTTTGTTTCCTCCCGAGGTCGTTTAGATCCTTCACCAATCGACTCACATTCCTTTTTATACGGGTATATATTTTCAAAGAATTCAGCATTATCTGATTCTATAACTGTATTATTATAAATGTCGGAATTTTCTGATTTATGAACCAGAAATCGATATGCTTTACTATTGGTCGCATATCCTATGAAAACACAATCAATGATTTTCGGTCCTATTTTTATTCTTTTGGGTTTAGAAACTTGCACTTTTACCAAACACTCCCACACTTTAAAATAATTCAAGTTGGGCTTCATTCCTTTTCATTTTTCATATGAAATGGATTGTGTTTTGCTATGGGGTACTCAATTTAGTATCCGGTTAGCCGTAAGAACGGCTTCCCTCCACAAGGTCTGTGGCAAACCAGAACTTATCAACAATGCGTTCATCATCTCCTTTAATGGACGATTCTTTTTTTCCGCAATCCCATTAGATTGGGGCGTGTAAGGAGCCGTTGTTTGATGAATTATTCCATATTCTAAACATATTTCTTCAAAAGGAGATTCATATTCGCCACCCCTATCACTTCTTATCATTTTAATTTTCTTATTAAGTTGCGTTTCAACTTCATTTTTGTATTGCCTGAATGCGTCTATTGCTTCATCTTTACTATTCAGTAAGTAAANCATATTCTAAACATATTTCTTCAAAAGGAGATTCATATTCGCCACCCCTATCACTTCTTATCATTTTAATTTTCTTATTAAGTTGCGTTTCAACTTCATTTTTGTATTGCCTGAATGCATCTATTGCTTCATCTTTACTATTAAGTAAGTAAATATAACAATATCGAGTACTGTCGTCAATAAAAGTTATGAAATACTTCTTTCCACCACGAGATGGTATTGACTTCATGTCGCAAATATCTGTGTGAATTAAGTCTAAAGGATTTGAATTCCTTTCAACTGACTTATAAGGATGTTTAACATACTTAGATTTCACACATATTTGACATTTTGATTTGTCGCATTCAAACATATGCAATACTTCCAAATTAATCATTTTCCGCAAGGTTTTGTAATTTACATGACCCAAACGTATATGCAATAATTCATTTGACTCATAAGTAAGAAGAAGCTAAAATTTTATTATTATTCTCAATAACCATTACATTCAGCTTGAAAAGGTCCTCAGTGAGGTAACCTTTTCCTACAAACATTTCATACTTACTTATTACAACCTTATCGGATACAAAAACACACTTAAACCCATTCTTAGAAAGAAGTCCAGCAGAGACTAAGTTCTTTCTAATCTCGGGAACATGAAGGATGTTGTTCAAGGTCACCACCTTACCAGAAGTCATTTTCATAAATATCTTTCCAGATCCTTCAATTTTGGCCGTTGCAGAATTTCCCATAGAAAGCGTCTCTTCGGGTCCAACAAGAGCATATGTAGCAAACACTTCTCTAACAGTACAAACATGGCGAGTGGCTCCAGAATCAATCCACCACTCTTTAGGATTTTCCACCAGGTTGCATTCAGAAAGCATAGCACACAAGTCATCGATATCTTCGTGCTTTTCAACCATGTTTGCTTGACCCTTCTTCTTGTTTTTCTTTGGAGCACGACAATCTGCAGATCTGTATCCAGCTTTTCCATAATTGTAGCAATTTCCGTTGAACTGCTTCTTACTTGGGTTGCTTTTCGGTCCATAAGACTTCTGTCTCTTTCTATCCTCAAAAATGTTTGCTCCCATTATTGTTGAGTTTCCATGGCCTTTCTTTTCAGTAGCTTTGTTGTCCTCTTCGTTTTTCAACCGAACAATGAGATCTTCAAGGGACATCTCCTTTCGTTTATGTTTCAAGTAATTTTTGAAGTCCTTCCACAAAGGAGGCAACTTCTCAATCATTGCTGCAACTTGGAACGCTTCATTGATGACAAGACCCTCAGCGAAAATTCTGTTAGTAGAAACAATATAATTAATACTTTCAACATTAGTATTAATTTGATTTATACCTTCAGCAAGGAGATCGTGAATAATCACTTGCAATTCTTGGACTTGGGTAATAACAGACT